GTTGGTATGGAGGGAGTGGAGGATGGGTGTTGATAAGGGAGGAGGTGTTGGTAAGGAGGGGCATGGAGGAGGGGTATGGAGGGCATGGGGAGGTGGGCATGGAGGCATGGAGGAGAGGTGGGGTATGGAGGGCGGAGGAGGGTGTTGGTATGAGTGCATGGAGGAGGGAAGCAGGAAGGAGGAGGGGTGTTGGTAGAGCGTGGAGGTGGGGTGGCTGGAGAGGAGGGTGTGGTATGGAGGGTGGAGGAGGGTGTGGCTGGGAGGGTGTGGGGAGGGAGGGCTGGGTATGAGGCGTGGAGGGAGGCATGGAGGAGGCTGGCATGGGAGGGAGGAGGGGAGGAGGCAGGGTATGGTGGGCGTGGAGGAGGGGTAAGGGAGGGAGGAGGGTGCTGGTATGGAGGAGGGCTGAATGGAGGTGTGAAGGGCGGAGGAGGGTGCTGGTATGGGAGGAGGTAAGGAGGCATGGAGGAGGGGTATGGAGGGCGTGGAGGAAAGGGTAAGGAGGGCGTGGAGGAGGGGTGTTGGTATGGAGGGCGGAGGAGGATGCTGGAATGAGGAGGTGTTGGTATGGGGCGTTGAGGAGGGCAGGAGGAGGGGTGTTGTATGGAGGAGGGTGTTATGGGAGGAGGGGTAAGCAGGAGGAGGGTGTGGCATGGAGGAGGGGTGTTGGCATGGAGGAGGCGGAGGTGTTGGTATGGAGTGGAGGAGGGGTATGGAGTGGTCAGGGAGGAGGGGTGTTGGTATGGGAGGGTGGGAGGAGGGGTTGGCAGGAGGGAGGGAGAGGTGAAGGGAGGAGGGTGTTGGGTAAGAGGGTGTTGGTATGGAGGAGGTGAGGGAAGGGAGGGGAGGGGCATGGAGGAGGGTGTTGGTATGGAGGAGGGGTAGCAGGAGGGAGGGTGGAGGAGGTGTTGGGTATGGAGGGAGGAGGGGTAATGGAGGGTGGAGGAGGGGTAAGGAGGTGGAGGTGGGTATGGAGGAGGGCGTGGAGGATGGAGGAGGGTGTTGGTATGGGAGGGCGTGGGAGGTGGTATGGAGGGCGTGGAGAGGGGTGTTGGTATGGGAGGGCGTGGAGAGGGGTGAAAGGAGAAGGAGGAGGGTGTTGGTATGGAGGGCGGAGGAGGGGTGTTGGTATGAAGGAGGGTGCTGGATATGGGAGAAATGGCATGGAGGGAGGGGTGTTGGCATGGAGGGCATGGAGGAGGCTATATGAAGGGGCATGGAGGGGAGGGTGTTGAATGGAGGAGGGTGTTGGTATGGGGAGAGCGTGGAGGAGGAAGTGGTAATGGAGGAGGGGTGTTGGTATGGAGGAGGGGTGGGGCAGAAGGAGAGGGAGGAGGTGGGTATGGGAGGAGGTAAGAAGGGAGGAGGGGTAAGCAAGGAGAGTGGAGGAGGGTGTTGGTATGGAGGAGGTGCTGGTATGGGAGGAGGGGGGTGTTATGGGAGGGCGGGAGGAGGTGCTGGGAGGACGGAGGAGGTGCTGGTATGGAGGAGGGGTGTGGTGGTGAGAGGTGGAGGAGGTGCTGGTATGGAGGAGGGTGTTGGTATGGAAGCGTGGAAGGAGGGGTGCTGGTATGGAGGAGGGGTGCTGTGAGTATGGGTGGAGGTGTTGGTATGGAGGGCATGGAGGAGGGTGTTGGAATGAGGAGGGGTGTTGGTATGGAGGGCGTGGAGGAGGGGTGCGTGGAGGAGGGTGTTGGTATGGGGGCGTGGAGGAGGGGTGTTGGTATGGAGCGTGGAGGAGGGTGTGGTATGGAGGAGGTGCTGGTATGGAGGGAGGGGTGTTGGTATGGAGGGCGTGGAGGAGGGTGCTGGTATGGAGGAGGGGTGTTGGTATGGAGGGCGTGGAGGAGAGGTGCTGGTATGGAGGAGAGGGTGTTGGTGAGGCATGGAGGAGGTGCTGGTATGGAGGAGGTGTTGGTATGGAGGGCGTGGAGGAGGGGTGTTGGGAGAGATGAAGGGAGGGTGTTGGTATGGAGGGGCGTGGAGGAGGGTGCTGGTATGGAGGAGGGGTGTTGGTATGGAGGGCAGTGGAGAGAGGTGCTGGTATGGAGGGTGTTGGTATGGGAGGCATGGAGGAGAGGTGCTGGTATGGAGGGTGTTGGTATGGAGGCGTGGAGGAGGGGTGTTGGAATGAAGGAGGTGTTGGAATGAAGGGCATGGAGGAGGTGCTGGTATGGGAGGGGTGTTGGTATGGAGGGCGTGGAGGAGGGTGCTGGAATGAAGGAGGGTGTTGGTATGGAGGGCGTGGAGGAGGGTGCTGGTATGGAGGAGGGTGTTGGTATGGAGGCGTGGAGGAGGGTGCTGGTATGGTGGAGGAGGGTGTTGGTATGGAGGGCGTGGGGGTGCTGGAATGGAGGAGGGGTGTTGGTATGGAAGCATGGAGGAGGTGCTGTATGGGAGGAGGGGTGTTGGTGGAGGGCGTGGAGGAGGTGCTGGTATGGAGGGGGTGTTGGTATGGAGGAGCGTGGAGGGAGGGTGCTGGTATGGAGGAGGGGTGTTGGTATGGAGGGCGTGGAGGGAGGGTGTTGGAATGAAGAGGGTGTTGGTATGGAGGGCGTGGAGGAGGGTGCTGGTATGGAGGGGGTGTTGGTATGGAGGGCGTGGAGGAGGGGTGCTGGTATGGAGGGAGGGGTGTTGGTATGGAGGGCGTGGAGGGTGCTGGTATGGAGGAGGGTGCGGCTGGAGGAGGGTGTTGGTATGGAGGGCGTGGAGGTGCTGGTATGGAGGAGGTGTTGGTATGGAGGCGTGGAGGAGGGTGCTGGTATGGAGGAGGGTGTTGGTATGGAGGGAGGGCGTGGAGGAGGGTGCTGGTATGGAGGAGGGGTGTTGGTATGGAGGCGTGAGGAGGGGTGTTGGTATGGAGGAGGGGGTGTTGGTGGGGATGAAAGGGGTGCGGTATGGAGGCGTGAGGAGGTGTTGGTATAGGAGGGCGTGGAGGAGGGGGTGCTGGGCATGGAGGAGGTGTTGGTATGGAGGGGTGTGGCATGGAGAGGGTGTTGGTATGGAGAGGGGGTGTTGGTATGGAGAGTGTTGGTATGGAGGCGTGGAGGAGGGGTGTTGGTATGGAGGGCGTGGAGGGTGTTGGTATGGAGGGCGTGGAGGAGGGTGCTGGTATGGAGATGGGGTGCTGGGTATGGAGGTGGGGTGTTGGTATGGAGGGCGTGGAGGAGGGGTGCTGGTATGGAGGGCGTAGAGGAGGAGGGATGTTGGTATGGAGGGCGTGGAGGAGGGGTGCTGGTATGGAGGAGGGGTGTTGGTATGGAGGGTGTTGGTATGGAGGTGTTGGTATGGGGGGCGTGGAGGAGGGGTGTTGGTATGGAGGGCGTGGAGGAGGGGTGTTGGTATGGAGGGCGTGGAGGAGGGTGTTGGTATGGAGGGGCGTGGGAGGGTGCTGGTATGGAGGTGGGGTGCTGGTATGGTGGGGTGTTGGTATGGAGGGCGTGGAGGGAGAGGGTGCTGGTATGGAGGGTGTTGGTATGGAGGGCGTGGAGGAGGGTGCTGGAATGGAGAGGTGTGGTAGCATGGAGGGCGTGGAGGAGGGTGCTGGTATGGAGGAGGGGTGTTTTTATGGAGGGCATGGAGGAGGGTGTTGGTATGGAGGGCGTGGAGGAGGGTGTTGGTATGGAGGAGGTGTTTTATGGAGGGCGTGGAGGAGGGTGTTGGTATGGAGGGCATGGAGGAGGGGTGTTTTATGGGTGCGTGGAGGAGGGTGTTGGTATGGAGAGTGGAGGGTGCTGGTATGGAGGGCGTGGAGGAGGGTGCTGGTAGTATTGAAGGTGTTGGTATGGAGGGCGTGGAGGAGGTTGCTGGTATGGAGGAGGAGTGTTTTATGGAGGGCGTGGAGGAGGGTGTTGGTATGGAGGCGTGGAGGAGGTGTTGATATGGAAGGCATGGAGGAGGCGTGTTGGTAGGAGGGCGTGGAGGAGGGGTGTTGGTATGGAGGGCGTGGAGGAGGGTGTTGTGGAGGCGTGGGGGAGGAGGGTGTTGGTATGGGGGCGTGGAGGGAGGATGTTGGTATGGAGGGCGTGGAGGAGGGTGTTGGTATGGAGGGCGTGGAGGTGGTGGAGGGTGGAGGGAGGTGTTGGTATGGAGGGCGTGGAGGAGGTGTTGGTAATGGAGGTGTGGAGGAGGTTGTTGGTATGGAGGGCGTGGAGGAGGTGTTGAGGTGGAGGAGGGTGCTGGTATGGAGGGGGTGCTGGTATGGAGGAGGGTGCTGAGTATGGGGGAGGGGTGCTGGTATGGAGGAGGGGTGTTGGAGAGGGCGTGGAGGAGGTGTTGATGATGGAGGAGGGTGCGGTATGGAGGAGGGGTGTTTTATGGAGGGCGTGGAGGAGGGTGTTGTGGAGGGGCGTGGAGGAGGGTGTTGGTATGGAGGGCGTGGAGGAGGGTGTTGGTATGGAGGAGGGTGTTGGTATGGAGGAGGGAGGTGTTATGGAGGGCGTGGAGGTGTTGGTATGGAGGCATGGAGGAGGTGTGGTATGGAGGGCGTGGAGGAGGGGTGTTGGTATGGAGGAGGGGTGTTGGTATGGGGGAGGGTGTTGGTATGGAGGGCATGGAGGAGGGTGTTTTATGGAGGCGTGGAGGAGGGTGTTGGTATGGAAGGCGTGGAGGAGGGTGTTGGTATGGAGGGAAGGTGCTGGTATGGAGGAGGTGTGTGGGTGTGGAGGGGGTGTGGAGAGGGGTGTGGGTGTGGGGGGGGGGTGTGGAGTGGGCGGGAGGGTGGGTGTGGAGGGGGTGGGGTGTGGAGGGGGGTGTGGGTGGAGGGGGGTGTGGGTGTGGAGGAGGGTGTGGGTATGGTGGAGGAGTGTGTTGGTGGAGGAGGGTTCTGGTATGGAGGGAGGGTGTGGTGTGGAGGGGGGGTGGGTGTGGGATGGGTGTGTGGGTGGGGCGGGACAGGGGCAAGGAAGGTGTGGTGGGGGGGTGGGTGTGTGGAGGAGGGTTCTGGTATGGGAGGAGGGGGGTGGGTGTGGAGGGGGGTGGGTGTGGGAGGGGGGGTGTGGGTGGAGGGGGGTGTGGGTGTGGAGGACTTGATTAGGAATTTCACATATATTTATTGGTCTCATTCACTATACAGTACACATTGGCTTATGAAAATTAAGTTATGAGCTTATATTACTTCCTAGGATTAACTTTTAGAATCTAATCAGTGTTCCAGCTTTATAAGGTAATAATTAAATTGATGTCAAGTGCCTAGAATGGCAATACTGTACACTGTGTGCGGAGCTTCTCACGACAAAATCCGTTTTACCAGGGACCTAATATTACCCTTCAGCTTTTCTACAATAGACAGCTTCTTCCCTCAAGATAAATGAGAATCTAAAATACAAAACTGACATCAAATTTACTTGTGAATTAGAAAAGGACAATATTCTACACATTCCTTGATGTTAATATCCACCATCTTCATAACAGTTTCGAGACAGCCTTATACAGAATACAAACTTTCACTGGTTTGAGTTCAAAATTTTCATCAGTCATTCCTCTCAATTACAAACAATTGCTAACTGATAAAACAAAACAAAGTGAGAACATAATTAAAACCAACAAACTCTACAAACTAGTCACAATACAATAAGGATCTTGTTCTACTGGCCCATGAGGTGTTGACACATATCTTCATCCAAAGGAAGTCCAAAAAGTTGTGAAACACCAACTGTAGGACCCGTCTTCAATGATGTTTCTAATATGCATCAGGTGACTCTGACCAATAGCTGAAAGGAACAAATTGCTGTTAAAATATACAGAAAGTTAGTCATGTAAATTGTAACAGATACCTTGGGAATTTTAACCAAAATATCCATGTCCAGCATTTGAGTACTTGCACTCACTCGCCACATGTAGTTACTTAAAACTTTTTACATTACATTATTTATTTATTATACTGTATTTATTTTACCACTTTCTGTATGTACAAGTTTCATAAAAATAGCTAAGATAATTGCATACATGTTCAAGTTCCCACATCTGAGCCGGATATAGGAACTCACTGTTATTTAGAAGGTCAGATTTTTTATGTACTTAATGGGTTCTAATATGCTGTATACTTGTACTGTATGCAAGGGGCAAAGTGGCTGTCAGGTTTTCTCAAAGATTCTAATATTGTATGAGCAGACATCAATTACCCCTTGAAAATGAATACCTGTACTGTATTATGTGAAGATTCAACTCACCCTAAGCCAGGACAACAAGAGAATGCTTCAAAAAAAGATTTCCCAAAATGGTGTTCCAAACTCTACCTTCAGAGGCTGCTGGAATATTCTCTAAGTAACCTTACATGAGACCCCACATCTGGTAAACAAAGTTGAGTAGAGTATAGGGAGAGTCTGGACTTCAGTCTGCATGCTAACTACTGAACGGATACTTAAAACAATTGCCAATGCTCTTTGAATAAAACAAAATATAATACTAATGAAAACAATGTGGACTTTATGGCAAGTCTCCCTTAAAATGTGTCCCAAAATCTGCTGTGGCAAGCATTCAGCTCCCTAAAACAGTTAGCAGGAAGACACCCACCCAAGTTATAGAACCTGATTGGAACCAAGTTATGTACTGTTACCCAGCTTGTAACAATGAAATCTACAGTAGAGGACACACTTATTAAATCAGTGTGGCCCCGGGCATTACACGGAACAATGTGACGAACAGTGCAAATTATGTTACCAAAATTATACCTGTATTATAAAGAAATATGTATCAGTATTGCATTAAATATATGCAACTTGCACAGACACCCACCCCATATGTGGCTTGTTTAATTGTGTAGATATACAGTAAATGTGTAAAAGTTTAGGTGTTACAAGTAATTAAATAGTAGGTGGAAGGAGAGAGTTAATGGGTGGAAGGTGGAGAGAGGGAGAGTCAAAAGGTGGAGGGAGGAAGAAGTGGAAGGGGGGAGGGTTAATAGGTGAAAGGTGCAGGGAGGGAGAGTTGGTAGGTCGAGGGAAAGAGAGGTGGTAGGTGGAGGGAGAGGTGGTAGGTGGAGGGAGGGAGAGGTAGTAGTGGTAGGTAGACAGGGTGAGAGATTGTAGGTGGTGGGAGGGAGAGGTAGTTGAAGTAGGTGGTGGGAGGAACAGATAGTTGGTGGATGTTCAATACAAACAACGTTGCTAATAGTAAAATAAGTTGAAGTACTTGGTACATTATGTCACTAGTGTCACCTATGCTTACAATCAGAGACAACACGGCCGAGCTCGGCAGAAATGACAGGGGCCGTGACCTCGGTTTCTTGACCTATGAGTGGTGGCCGGGGTGTTCGGGAGTCTCCCTCACCACTGATCATCTGTAAATATAATCATCCATTACCATATTTACAATACTTAATAAAAAGACAAACAAAAGTTCTATATCTATGTGTTCATGCTTGCCTCATCCATTTAGAAGACATCAAGAAATAGCCACAGAAGTAATACAAAAATACTGTACAAGGTCTGGATTACTTTACATATGAAACAGCACAACTACCATGTATATCTTATCCTTTTTAAAGGGACACAAGAAAAAATAATCGTAGCTACAGTAGAGTATAATCAACCAAGTATCTGTTAATCTTAAACTGTATGATGAAAGCTTCTATCTTCTAAAGTTTCTGGTCCTGGAGCACTTCATCATCACTGTTTTGTGTTATCAGCCATCAAGTAAGCTTTATGGTTGTTACTTAATGAACTACTGTACAGTACAAATACTGTACAGGTCATATATAACCTACACTTAATACAGCAAATGATGATGAACAGACACTTAACACACATCTATCCCTCAATTATTAAAATATTTATCTTGACAGTAACAACTTCTGGTATTGCTCTAACATTAAAGCTTTTATAAAACTAATCATTTTAGACTACAGAGCAGTGCTACCAAACCCGATGTTTCCCAATTGTTTATAAACTATTAATGACTCTGAAATAGTCTTCTCTTACATCCTACACATATACACCTGAACAACTCCTGACAATAATAACACACAGTGAACCCAGCAGATTGGAGCATACAATTCATAAATCAACACAGCAAAATACTATACATTTGTCATCAACTTTGAAATAGATTTCCATTAACAGCTATGACTTGGTTCTACAATAATTTTGATTTAACACAGATACCACACATGCAGAAATTTGTGTACAATACACAGTATGAAGCCTTCTCTTAACATACATTACTGAATAACAACATCTTTTAACATACATTACTGAATAACAACATCTTTTAACATACATTACTGAATAACATCTTTTCACATACCTAAATGAATAACACCATCTTTTCATATCTTCTCATACACATTACTGAATAATATCTGAATGAATCGGCTGGATTGTACAATTAACCAGGCCGTTCACATATATTTATTATTTGGGTTTAAGTAACGAAACCCAAACTGTAGTTCCTTGTTTTATTATAAAAGGATTGTATCTATAATTCCTGAGTGTAGATCGACTGTAAGTTCCACTGTATATGAGTGAATGAGAAAGGGACGGCGTTTATGTAATAGAAACGTAAGGCCACGTCCTTACGATATAAGTTGCTGTGAGCGACTACTGAGTTAGGGCCTCGCAGTGCGGGCTTCCATATGTGCTGACGATGGGCCTCTACCCTCCTGGGAGAGTTGCCCTCTCAGGTGTACTACTCATGTCTTACTCATAGACAGTGGAAAGTTACAGGGTGGTGAATCTGAATATAATATCAGATGTATTGACCCATCTATATAATATGTTCTGTTGATGAGACAGGGGCCCATTACATAAAGCCAAGCATATCAGAAACATAAAAGAAGAAACACACCAAATTGACTCCGCTCACTGGTACAGAAATTTTTTTTTATTTATATACAAATGTTTTGTACATTACTGAGTTGGAAAGGTACCGTACTGTGTAGAAAATACTCACCAAATGCATAGCTCAGGAGCAAGGAGGGTGAGGCTCCATCAGTAACTGAGACAGAGTCTGCCCAAAGTTTCAAATTTGGTTTTTAATGGCCTGTTAAAGGAGAGAAACAAGGTCAGCAACAGAGCCAAGAAGGGAAATGGAAAATTTGAACATATTATTTATCCTTGCTGACAGTAATTACCTTACACACCTCCTGCCTCCAAAGGGCAACTGTTGCATCAAACCCCCTCATAAGAGGCCACTGGGGTGATGGAAAGAGAGAGAGGTAACTGGCATGCCCAAAATATATTAACATATCAACCCTGGTAGGCTTAATGAGGATGTTGTCATAGACATGGAACCTGGACTAAGCAGCCTTACTATTAAAGACATTCATAAAGATGCATTTATCACTAAGGAATGTGAAGAAATAAATTACTTACTCTGAAACCCCATGTTATGTCCCAGCCCAAACTTAATGACTCATGCATTACACCATTAAGTCTGAGTTTGAAAACTTAGGTAAACCTCTCTACAGTATACTAATGGCTGGAACTAATTTGTAATAAAGTTACAATAAAGTCTTAAAAAGGGAACTTGAAAAACTAAAGTCTCCATTTAAATTAGAAGGTAATGAATCCTACTGTCACATTACCCTGCGTAAGCCTTCCCCATGATATGAATTGGTTATACTGGATTCCAGGAATCATTATCATCCTGTTTCAGCCAACTTCCATACTACCCACTACAAAAATGGAAGATAGACAAGTCCCCAAAGCTTGCACTAACCCTTCAGCAAAAAACTGGTTCTGAACTCCTCTTTTCTAACACAAACTCAACATACTTTACATACTGTACCTATAACTTTAATACTTGCCACCTTTTCAGGCTTCATCAAGGTATTCTAGATAGGTAACAACCTCTTCTAACACATGGCGTCATTCTTCAGACAATTGCCATCACTGTTGTTCCTCACCTTCTTCCCAGGGCAGCCTCCACTCCAAGGAGAGTCAACATGATGGATCTGTACACAGTAATAAGTAAACAAAATAACATCTCCTCACAAAACAATTCTCCTCAAAACAACAAATAAAATAGTGAAACCTCCAAATAATAAACAGCTCTAAACACATACGGTAGTCTCTCCTCGACTTATGACGGGGTTCGGTCCTGACGACCAAGTCGTAAGTCGAAAAGGCGTAAATAATACATAGAAATTCTAAAATGGTGTCTCTTTTTCTTCTCAGCACCACGAGAACTCTCACTTTTACGCTTGCCAGCCATTTTAAAGAGAATTACAAACAAAAATTTTGTCAGTACACAGCGCGATCACCGACGTCAGTACTAGAAAACACGTACAGTGAACCCTCGCTTTACGCGGTCAATTGAACCCACGGAGGCCCATAAACGAGTAAAGTGAACAACATAACATATGGGATTAATTGAAATAGAGACCGGGCCGACCCCCAAACTCCACTTTTTCCGACACAATACCATGTTGTAGTAAAAATAACATCTTAATTTTATGATGGTATGCACACGCAATTAATATTTAAGAGAAATACAGTCGCCAGGTTAATGTCCATTCAAATAATGGACTCAACTCTCCCCCCCCCCCTCTTCCCAGCTCACTGGCTCCTACCTCTCTAGAAATGTTTGGGTGAAAACACTAGATTTTAAGGTATAGTAATAAATAATACCTCAGACTAAAGTTAGGATAATATAATTGGCATTTCTGGATTCCTTGCAGGTCAGGGAATATTTTGAATGTAAACTTCATATATTTTGCACAAAGATAAAATATTTGCTTTGTGTAAACCAAATTATTACATTAGATCTAAAATTTGTAGGTCTAATGCAAAATCCATGATGTTTATATTCAAAATGATCATCATATTGTAAGAATCCAGCAATGTAAATTATATTCTGGCCGGGTAATTTGTATGAATTTTATGAGCTAAATAAAAAATTATACATCACCCGCGTATGAGTAGATGCGCCACGTAAAATGAAATTCCAAAATGAAATTCCGGTTCTGGCTAGGTACCGCGTAAATGTAGAATCGCGTATAGTGAAAATAAAGTGAAACCGCTTAAATCGGGGTATTACTGTAATTTGAAAAATATTTCATATGACCACGGCGGTCGTATGTCCGGGTTGTCGTAAGCCAAGGAGTACCTGTAATCCGTTAGATGGGACTTTCACATCTAATGGACCCTCAATATAACGGACTTTCCTCTTTATATAGTCAGTTAAATAAAAGTTTCATTGTACTTCAGGACAATACTAATTCCATCTCAATATCATATAAAGGATATGTCTCCATCACACAAGTTTCAAAGAGTCAACTCTTTATTTTTCATCACCCCTAAATTGTTAATCCAGCCCTTATTGTCTCTGTATCATGTGGTGGGCTGTGGAGAGATCAGGGAGGTACAGTACAAAACAGAGCAACATTGTTAAGTGGTGTCTTGAGGCCAGGCATATGGTGTCAAGGGAATACAGTAATAGTGAAGCAGATGGCTAATACCAGAAAGAGTCGTTAATTTTGTCCAAACATGCTCTTTGGGTGATAGTAAAAAATAAAAATGTCACAACAAGTTTATATTAAAATAACAAGTATTTTTTTCTATCTATGATTATGAATCACCTGTAGTTGGCAGGGCATGCAGGATGAGGGAAATTGCAAGGTAAAAACATGCCAAAAAATTTAGCATAATACATTTAAATCATGTCTCTGTGTGCTTTGTAAGCCAAGTAATTGAATTTTTACCGTAAATATTCCGCCAAAAATTCTAGTCCATCAGATCCTTTTTCTCATATGATTGTAAACAAATAAATTTAGATTACAATCTTGATTAACTTGTCAACAAATGATGGAGCCTCTCATCAGAGATTTTACTACCTTTACTATACAGTCAGCTTGAATGCCTTTTTTTTTAACCTTCAGTATCCAGTGGTGTTGATAACCTGCACAAATCCCATATAATTTTGTCTTTCCACACAATAGGTTTTTAAACATATTCAATTTATAAATGATAAGGATTATACAGGTATTGTGATTCATTTCCAATGCCTTATGAGTAGAGCATTGGTTAAAAAGTGAACTGTATGTTGGTATACTTATTGTTCTTCCTGAAGGAGGAGGATTAAGGGAGCCATATATTTTTTTAATGGCATCCTTATTGCGTCCACAAAAACGTAGAATTACATCATTCCGTTTACAGATCTAATTGCTTCCATTGGTACCAGATATCAAAGTAAGTTCTTTCTGTCTAATATGCCAGGATGATTCTACCTGGCTAAGAAGTTAGATAAGGTTAGGTAGGTTTTTTGGGTTAGTTTAGTTAGGTCAGGTTCTATTAGGTTCTATACATTATCATGTGATTTTTATTACTTACTACCATCCAATGAACATCAGTTGAAAAATGAATGAAATTGAACAGCAACTTCTGGTGTTAGCCGCCTGTTCCAAAACGTGCTGTTCAATTTCTTTCATTTTTTCCAAAGATGTTCTTTGCATGATAGTAATTAATAAAAGCAATACGCCAATACAATGAACGTAATAGAATCTTACCTAACCAATCTAACTTCACGGAACTTCCTACCCAAGGGGCTCTGCCACCTGACATATTAAAAAGAAAATACAGTGTACCTGTACTTTGACATGTGGCACCAATGAAAACAACTTTCTTCAAGCAGTCTGGTGTAATTATACTTTTTTGTGGAAGTGAGATCATGCTTGGACCGGTGGCTCGGGTGTTGCACGGAAACAAAGAGCAGATGACAACACCTGCCGAGACACAGCAAATACTTACTGTATAATTAAAATAAAAAGTTGTCATATCACTTTTATTACTTACATTGTGGAAAAAATGGGTAATTATTGACAAGATACCTGCCACCGATTTTGTTGTGGACACTGTCGTTGTTTCGGCAAATTAAATCTAACCTAACCAAAGAAACCTACCAACCTAACCTAACCTAACCTAACCTAACCTAACCTAACCTAACCTAACCAAAGAAACCTACCTAACCTTACCTAACTTCCTAGCCATGACGCTCAACCCTCCGGACTTCTCAGCATATTAAAAATAAAGAACTTATTGATATGGCGTAATTTTACGTTTTGGGGGACATGTGAGTATTCGCCCCAACCAAGTGGCTCATAAACGTACACTGACCATAGGTATGATTGGCTGTTTACACACGGGATATGGTATTACCGCCTCATCACCACCGAGAAAGACAAAGTCGTGCATGCTAAGGATGTCTCGTTATCTACCAAATGAAGCAGTTACATAAATATATTTTTATTTCAGAACTCACTGATGAAAATATTGATAGAAAATAATCAAAACAAATAATGCATTGCAGGTTAGTCGTCAATATTAACCAAAAAAATATGGTAAATGTTTACTTAAGTGCTGCAAGCGATTTTGCCAGAAAAAAAATTTCCTGCATGAATTTTCCTGCTTTTTTATTGGAATTTTTTTATGGGGAAAAAACTTAACCTGACCTGACCTAACTCCCTATCGGGGGGGGGGTCCGACTAATTACCCAAATGTAGCCAAATATAGCCGGAATGAAGTCAAATAATGGTCCTAGATGAATAAATCGGACTGCCAATCACATCTCGACAAGTATTTGGTGTCACAAAGTCACAAAAAATTGGAAAACTTACTTTAATCTGAGTTAATAGATCGAGTGCATGTACCTAACCTAACCTAACACAACTCAGATTAAATTAAGTTTACAATTTTTTGTGACTTCGTGACACCAAATACTAGTCGGGAAGTGATTGGCAGTCCGATTTATTCATCTAGGACCATTATTTGACTTCATTGTGGCTACATTTGGGTAATTAGTGGGACCGGTTCCCAGAAGTTATCCTCATTTTTTGCCAATCCACCAAAACATTGAAGGCACAGAGTTCATAGCCTTACTTGTCCCGACTTTATAATAATCAGATTACTTTTCTCCCCTTTCAAACACAATTTATTTATTCATTACTACCTTACCCAAACACGCGTTACTAAGGCAACAACATGGAGATTAACTTCACTTAGTATTTAACTTCTCACAAAAGATCGTCATTTCATTATTGGAGTGTAGAGTAATTTACTGAACTCGCGTTTAAATTACTTAATATAAAAATAAATATAATAATAATTTACTCACCATTAACGAGCCATTAACGGTTCACTTAGGTATATAGTTCTCCCAGTGAGTTATACTAAGATATGCCTTATAGTATGTTGTACTGTATATGCATATAGATGGCGCTGATACATCATACAGTATGTCCTACTAGATATAGATGGCGCTGATCCCACTGTCTTGCTGCGTGTCGTCTGTTTATTTACATTTAGGAAGAAGATTGCGGCATATTCAACCTGTCAAATGTGTAAAAATAAAGCGTCACTGACTCCTATCTTCTATCTGTTGGATGGTAGCGTTATGGGGCTGTGTGTGTGTGTGGTTATTGCTGTGGTTGTGTTGTGGTTTGGGTTGTTGGTTGCGATTGATGATTGCTGTTGTGCTTTTGGTTGGTGTTGTTGCTTGTAGTGTTGCTTGTTGTGGTTGTTGTTGTTGAAATAGTGGTGTGGTGATGTGGCATATCATGTTAATGGTGGGACTAAAAAAGCAATTGACTGTTTGTAACATGACTGGCATAGTTAATACTCACCCGTGATCAGTGTCACTTTACCAAACTTGACAGGTTTTCTCCAGGTACTAGGGCTTTCTCCGGGTACTAGGATTACTGTTTTCTACGAGTACTATGGTTTTCTCCGGGTACTAGGGTTTACTACGAGTTCTAGGGTTTTCTCCGGGTACTAGGGTTTCCTGCTCCAATAATACTGGACGATTAAGTTCACATTAAAGAAACAATGAAAATATCGACCACCCAGATGGCTAGTAAGCTGATAAGTAGTAAAATGATGAATCATTTCTAAAAAGCATGAATAAATATACAAGTTACCCCTTTAAAGTGTCATTTTCTTCAATAGAGCTGTAACAGAA